TATGTGCAGCTCCTATCAGGATTTGTTGGCACATTCGGGCGGTGTTGCTGGACTTGTTTTACCATTGTCGAGATGTCTTGTAACCGGGATTCCGAGTCTGATCGGGCCTTCCCGCTAGAAGGAATATCCTTCGTTGACCGTGAGAGCTTGTGATGGGCTAAGTTGAGACACCCCTGCAGGGATTTGAACTTTCGAAAGCCGTGCCCGCAGTTATGGGCATATGGGAATTTGTTAATGTCCGGTTGTAGAAAACCTGAAGTTGACCTTAATTAAAATACATCAACCGCGTGTGTAACCGTGATGGTCTCTTCTCGGCGGAGTCCGAGAAGTGAACACGGTGTTGGAGTTATGCTTGACGTAGGTTGTTCTAGGATCACTTCTTGATCATAGTTTCTCGACCGTGCTTTGCCTTCTCTTCTCGCTCTCATTTGCGTATGTTAGCCACCATATATGCTAGTCGCTTGCTGCAGCTCCACCTCATACCTTTTACCTTACCTATGAGCTTAAATAGTCTTGATCACGAGGGTGTGAGATTGCTGAGTCCCTGTGACTCACAGATACTTCCAAAACCAGCTTGCAGGTGCCGATGAGACCGTGCAGGTGACGCAACCAAGCTCAAGGAGGAGCTCGATGAAGATCTTGTCATTTGTGTTATTTTGTTCTAGTTGATCAGTAGTGGAGCCCAGTTGGGGTCGATCGGGGATCTGTGTAGCATTTGGGGTAGTCTTCTTTTATTTTGGTTCTGTAGTCCGACCTTGATTGTATCTGGATGATGTAATGATTTGTTCATGTATTGTGTGAAGTGGCGATTGTAAGCCAACTATGTATCTTTCTCCCTTATGTATTACATGGGTTGTGTGAAGATTACCTCACTTACGACATTGCTTTCGATGCGGTTATGCCTCTAAGTCGTGCTTCGACACGTGGGAGATATAGCCGCATCAAGGGCGTTAGATGGTGGCAATGGGCCTGGAGGTCGTGGCGGACGAGGCGATTGGTGCGCCATGGCCGGAGTCTTACAAGCATCCGTACTACTACACCGCCAAGCAGCTCGGAACCCCCACCGGTACGGTGCCTTACATCATCGACGTTAACGCGGCACCGCTCTTCTCCGAGTATTCTTCGCCGCGGCTCATCCAGGCGCGAACGGCAGCCGCGAAGCAGATCGGTGCACGCACGCTATTCGCTACAATGCCTAGAGCGGGGGAGGAGGCGCACGACGTGAACAGGAAGATGTTCGACAGCATCCACGGCATAGACGAGGGAGGAGGGGGGCTATGAGGACATGCAGGTGGAAGACTCGGATCCCACCCAATCCGGCAACTACAGCAGCAACAGTCCTACACCCAAACGGCCACGCAGCAGTCCTGCACCCAGACCGGCGATGACACACAACAATAACAACATTGGGCTGCTGGAGAGCAGTAGCCGGAGGATGAGGATGAGGAGGACGGCAACGATAATTATCTGGATGATACAACCGACGATCCGAAGAAGAAGGGTAGAGCAGAAAGCTTCAACATGCAGGAGGACGAGCTGTTGTGCGATGTATGGATGGACATTAGCATTGATCCGGTCCATGGCACGGAGCAAAAGGCCACAACCTTTTGGAGGAACATTCACATATGGTCCATGAACACAAGCATTTCGTGCCCTACTCCAACGCGGTCATCCACAACCGTGAATGGAAATCCCTCAACCATCGATGGTACACCATCCAAGAGGTCGTGTCCAAGTATTGCGGGCACTTGAAGCATCTCATTGCACGATGGTCTAGCGGTGCACAAATCACCAAGCAAGTAAGTTCATCACTAGCCAGATATGCTTTGGTTTTGTTGATCACTAGCTGGACATGTATTGTTTTGTTGCTCACTAGACGGATATGCATTGTCGACATTGTTTCACTTTGTAGCCTACTCGTGCTTGTGTGGTGTACAAGAAGTTGGAGAAGAAGTCCTTCACCGTCATGCATTGTTGGTGGAAGTTGAATGGGCAACCGAAGTACAACCTTTTCATTGCCAAGACCACCGCCCAAGCCAACGAGGAAGAAATCGATAACCCTACCGATCCAACCCAAGAACCGCTGAAAAAGGTTAGAAAAAAATTACGGGGAAGAAGTGGAAGGAGGAGAGGGCGAAGCGAGAAGGTGCGGGGTTCGAGTACATCCTAGCGAAGAAGGAGCAGGCATGCGTGAGGTGCTCGGACATCAAGCAGGAGAAGAAGACAGAGAGGTTCAAACTGTTGATGGAGGCGATGGACAAGAAGCTCAAGCTCGAAGAGAGGAGGACCATGATCGAGAGAGGAAGGACGCACTCGAGGAAAAGAGGGTGGAGATCACCGCCAATACAGAGGGTGCCAAAATGTAGTCCTTGAATGTCAACTCTTTGGATGTCGACGCAAGAATGATAGTGCAATCCGTCCGCTACCGAATGTTGCAGCGACAAAAAGATGAGTTGGCGACAACAGACTAGGACACGGTGGAGGCGAAGGCGGACATGGACTGTGCCTATGCGGCGGCGGCGGTACCTCCTTGATCGGGGAGCAACTGCTTGCATTGCCGGTCCGGCAAGGTAGAAATGCACGAACTGTCGGACTGATGTTCTCTTAGATTCCGACATGTAAAAACTAAGCATAATTGCCTCTTTTTGATTGTGACCAGACATGCGATCCGGTGCTTGTGTGGTATTGGAGTATATTTGAATTTGAATTTACTAACGAACATATACAAAGTAGAATACGATTGGATAGCAGGCTCCTGCATCCCCTATCCATGGACGGATGCGAAAGTAAATTTATGGATTGAGGTTGGAGCTGCCCTAGTTTCGTCATCCTTGCAACGAATCTGGATGCAGCGAATCGACGTTCGAAACGTGGGTGCCGTTGGTTTTCCTTATAAACCATGGGAATCCAACCGAAACATCATGGCTGATCGGCAACCAATTGCAACAAGGTTAAGAAACGAATATATCTAAGTTTGTGGCGTAACTGTGCCATTTGTTTTTACCAGGTGGCTGCGCCGCTTACGGAAGGAATAAGTGAGGAAAAAGAAAAGAGGAAGAAAAGGGGGGAATAATACATCCAAAACTTCATTGTCATGAGAATATGTGAAGTGGCCTTTGGGAGCACATACGGTCACTTTTGCACGATTAAAGAAGAAGAAAACTGGCAAGACGCAGTTTTGTCAAAAGGGAATAGCTGGAATAGTGGTACAACGACTACTCTCCGATACATCGAAGAATAGAGCAGGAAATATTGTGTAGTCACATGATAAACGGTGCAATATGAGAAACTTTATATTTGTTTCGTGTGACTAGGAGTGTGCCCCCGTCTTCCTTTGCACTCCAACTAATCGAAAAGAAACAGATATTTTATATTTTATGTAATCAAAGATGGCATGGCACACATGCAGAAATGAAGGTATGAGAAAGAAATTTTAGGGGACATGGTGACCACTGAGACCCCGACTGACTCTTGGAGGCCTTGAACAGTCGACCAACGTCTCAGTAAAGCAAAAACAGCCAGGCAGGCTCAGAGATAAAGAGAGAGATGAATTGATGAAGAATGGACAAACTTGTCATTGCCTAGCCAGCCAACAGTGGCATGAAGGGAACATGACACACACTAACAATTGTCGAAATTTCACTCATCTGCTATATAGCCAGGAACAGATTATTAAACCCTTCTTACTAGGCTGTTCCAGGCACCGCACTACTGTTTCCGCCACTAACTAATTCAGCGCAGTTGCACACACAAACCAGAAATTTCTGGAACAGGCATGCACAGTGAAGTCGTCAAGAAGAAGGATTGCAGTTGTACGTGTGGAGATTTCCACGGAGCACTCGATTGGCACTGAAGTTGAAATTCGCACCGACGATGATGACCGACCGCTCCTGAAGACGAAGGTAGTGCATTCTGCCACTGCCAGAAGAAGAAGCGGGCTGAGGCGGTCACCTACACGGCAGGTGATAGGGACACAAGAGAGGCCCAACACAGCAAAACAAACAAGGCAGAAGAAATGGAGGAAAAAGGAGAAAGAAATCAAGAGGAAAATAGATCAACGAATGGGGCTCCTTTGTACTAGTGGGGTGGAACAGTAGCGTGCCGCGCTGCAGCGGTGTTGGGAGGAGGCTCCCAAAAGCAAGATGCCAAGATAAAAAGGTGGTGGCTGCTGAGAGGGGAGGAGGCCACCCCGCAGCAGCAGCCCAAAGTGGACTGCAGCACAGATCGGAGCTGGGTGTGGGTGTGAGTGTGGGTGAGTGGCCTCCACATCGGACCAGAGCTAGCTTCTTCCGTGACTTTTTGGCTGTCACAGCTGAGCCACACGCCAGGAAATCATTTCCCTTCTGTTAACCAGACTTTTCAGAGAGAAACAAACAAATGGTGGTACAGTAATGGAGGAGTTAGGTCCCATGGATCAAATTATTTCTCACGGCCCTACCCCTCTGCTCAAGTGGTCGCCACGCTCCACAGCAATCTTTGCCCATGATGCAGGCAAAAAACTTCAGGCTTCAGCATGGATGATGGCAGCAAAAAAGGCGGGATAGATGATGCAGGATTATTAAGCATATAACTAAAATGGAGCAGCATGTCCTAACACCCCGGTCAATAATCAATCATGTCACGTGTTATCGTATAAGACGTGTCATCGGGGCCAAAACCTTTCTTAATAAAGCAAAGCAGCCATAATTTGGGAGTAACTTGGGGCTCGCTAATGGAGCATAAGTTGACCTGACGGCACCCAGACATTCAAAAAAGGATGATCAAAACTTCCAAGACACATTGTGCATCGTTTCGGCTGCACAAGGATGAAGAACATCCGTCCAAGGCTACGGTCAGCTTATGACCACAGATTCACAAAAAGCTTGATCTCAGCTTTGGCCCAAACAGCTCTAGAAGGACACTTCTTGCAAGGACAGGTTTGTGCAGGCAATCAGCAGTAGTAGGTGTGCTGGGGTGTGCCTATGATATCAACTTGCAAGATCTTTTTCTGAGCCTCGATAATGGCTGACAAAAAAGGTGGGATGGTGTCCTCTGTGCCAATGATAATGGCTGACAAAAAGGCCAATACTGCTTTTCATATCAAGAGGACAGAAAAAGAAAACCAAGGAAACCAGATAGAGACTTCACCAAGATTCCCATTTCCAATCACAAGCAAGAGGTAAAATTCTAGTAGAATACACTGGCTGTTTCGTGCACTGCGAAGTACTACCTCTGTTCCTAAATATAAGACGTTTTTGCAGTTCGAACAGAGGTAAGTAGTAATTTTCATTCTAAATTACTACGGACAATCAAAAGGGAGGAGAATTAATACTCACCAGTCAATTTAAAGTAATTCATTTCAGCCAGATAAAAGGGGAAAACAGCCAGTTTTCAGTTGAATGCTGATTACTGCTTATTTCTCCCAGCAGTCAACAGTTTCCTGTTTAGCACAGACCATTATGCATTAGTACTTTCCAGGATTCAACTCTATGTAGGGAAATGTAGTGTGCATGTGTGCCTCAGCAAACACATAACACAAGTAGTCATTTAAACCAAAGCATGTTTCCTGAACTTTCACACATGCACACCGCCAAACACAGGTGAATCTGCAAACCCTTTGTTGAAAAAAAAATAGTAAGTCAAGATTCAAGAGCATCGGATATCCATCCAGTTTGATTGTAATTATAGGTCTAGAATTCTCACATCAATCAACAAAAAGAAAATACTGCTTATAGTTCTATGCATGGCGGTCTATCAAAGCACCAAAAGGTTGATAAGCACAACAGCTTTTCTTTCTCGTGAAAACACAAAAGAATCACATCCCATATTCCCATCAAAGAAGAAGAAAAGGAATCAAGAAAGCAGCAGCTACGCCTTCAGAATCACCATGTTTTGTACAAAGTTAGAGGTCTAACATTAGTTAGAAATAGGAAGTTCTGGCTAGCAGCCTGGTGGAGGTTTCAAGTCAGTAGTGGCATGAACACTAAATACTTGCTGACTTATTTATGTGGGAAACAACGTTTCTATTTGAAATTTAAAAACATACCAGATGGCTATCACCAACAAGAGTCGAATGTTTTAATTTTAACTAGCCAGTACTGAGTACAGTCCAGTCAGCTATTACTGGTACTTCCTCCGTTTGGGTTTATTGGGCCCCCTCGTATTTTGGCTCAAACTTTGACCATCTATTTGACTAAAATAATATGAGATGTATGATACAAAAAGTATACTATTAGATTTGTACTTGAAAGAGGTTTCCCACGGTATAATTTTTATGGTCAAAATTTGTTTAACTGATGTAGTTAAATGGAGAGGCAATAAACCCGGACGGAGGAAGTAATTGCCTAATTGGTGGTAGTTAAACAGTTGTGACGGGAATTTTGTTATCAACACTCGCAATAATGAATTATGGTGGGCATATGATATTCAACTAAATTTATAAGTTATTTTTCTGGACAGCTCGACCAAAGCTAAAAGGTTTCAGCCTTTCAGGTATATAGTTGCAAACAAGAAATATGAAGCTCGTGAATTTGAAACGACGCCCACTATTAACAACCAATTTACTAGTATAATGCAGCAGCACTTGTGTGTACCTTGTAAGCCCCAAAAGGCATATACTGCTAGCACCAATGAAATCCACACACTAACCAAATAAACTGACCTCATAATATGCACACTATGAAGTTGCAATATAGCTTATGCAGCATGAGCCAATTGAAAAGCTACCTTTATAAGTTAGAATCTGAGGACAGCCCAAATGATGGAATATAGGGTCTTTATGGGAGCTCCAAATCACACCCACCAGATCACATGACCCCCAAGAGGCCAAGAGCTCCCTCCCTCGCCTATAAATGAGAGGCAAAAGTCATCAGACCCTTAGGCAACAAAGGTCAGCTTCCTTCTCTCCCTAGTAGCTTCATTCTTCTTCTTCTTCCAAACAGACTGGAGTTCATCAAGGATCTCGTCCTGAAACTGGAGCCTACAAGCACTCAAAGGAAGAAGAGCAAGAAGACAGGCTCCCAGCCGATACAAGGTAGGAGCGAACAACGTTAGGGTACTGTCGTTATATCCTGAGTTGATATGGTGACAGTGAGAGAAGAGACACGCAAAGGGCCATGGACAGAGCAGGAGGACATGCAACTGGTATGCACTGTCCGTTTGTTCGGTGAACGCCGTTGGGATTTCATTGCCAAAGTATCAGGTTTGAGGGGTGGGGGATCCAAAAATTAGGTAGCTATATTGAAGTATTTTGCGCAAAGTCGCAACAACAAATGTCACCTTTGCTAATAACTTTCTTCTTGCTTCAACCTCTGTAATCTCCATGCAGGCCTCAACCGCACAGGAAAGAGCTGTCGCCTCCGGTGGGTTAACTACCTCCACCCTGGCCTAAAGCGTGGGCGCATGACTCCCCATGAAGAACGCCTCATCCTCGAGCTCCATGCTCGGTGGGGAAACAGGTTTGATTCAAAGAACAACCTAAGTAATTGGGTGATAGCTTTCCTCTGCTATTATGATGTATGAATGATATATCTGGAGGCTCTTCAATAGGTGGTCCAGGATAGCACGGAAGCTGCCAGGGCGTACCGACAATGAGATCAAGAACTACTGGAGAACACATATGAGGAAGAAAGCACAGGAGAGGAAGAGGAGCGTGTCACCCTCACCATCTTCATCCTCAGTGACATACCAATCCATTCAGCCACAGACGCCATCGATCATGGGAATTGGCGAGCAGGAACTTCATGGTGGCAGTAGCTGCATCACAAGCATATTGAAGGGCACGCCTGCTGACATGGATGGATACCTCATGGATCAGATATGGATGGAGATTGAGGCACCCTCTGGGGTCAACTTTCATGACGGGAAGGATAATTCATACAGCAGCCCCTCTGGCCCTCTGCTGCCATCACCGATGTGGGATTACTACAGCCCTGAGGCAGGCTGGAAGATGGATGAGATAAAGATGGCCCCACAAGTTAGCTACAGTAAAGGAATTGGCCCCAGTTATTGAAGCCATATATATTGTATCAGATTACTAAGTTACTTGCAACCTAGCAGAAGTGAAATGCTTTTGTTGAAAGAACCATTAGCATGGATCTAAAAAATATTTATATCTATCTAGCATTCCAAGTGTGCTCATGTTTTATGTATCTACTATGTAGCATCTAGTGTGCAAGACATGTAATGCAAGGACACTTCCACTTTGTATTCACAATAATCAGCTATCTCCTGTAAGACTTTTCCAATGCAAACATGATTAGCAGGTGTAATATCAACTTAAATGCTTGCAGATTGGGTCTAGAAATGTTATAACTGAGAAGATCATGCTGATTCAATTGAAAATATAGTACAAACAATGGTAAAACCGCTGAAGATTGCTTTGCATTAACTGGGGAGAAGTCAACTGGAACTAGTGTCCCCATCTAGCTGTGATACTATTCCATAGTGGCAACTTTCAAGTTACGGGATAGGAAAAAAAAGGCATAGCTATCAGGAGTCAGGAGCCACATGTCCATGACGTCTTGAAGATAAAATACGAGGTCGAACAGCCAAAAGACTATGGCAAAACATTACAGAACAAATATCTGGAAGAGCAAATGAAACACAAAATAATTCCACTAAAAATGAGCTTTCAATTTACAGAAACTCCCAAGTCTATATTTAGAATTATTTCTTAAACCTGGCTCTAGATTGAGAAAGCGTTTCTTCAAGTAAAATTTTATCCCCTAACCCTTCATGCATATGAACAAGTCATACAGCTGGAGAACAAGATTTCAGAATCATGGTTACAAAAGAAAGACAAAATAGTGAACTCTGACATATAATGCAACACAAGCACGCAAAGCAGATGATTGGCAGATTGATGGCCCTGATGGCTACCCTCTACCTAGAAACAGTGGTTCGGGAAATAAATGCGTAACCATATATGCTACTACATGAAAGTTACAGCAGGCAAAGTTCATGAATGTTGTGCTGGGAGATGGTACTTCCTTCGTTAAGTAAAAGACCCACAAATTTTAATGTTTTTTAAGATGCATTTCGACAAATATATCTACATCGCAGCATATGAGTACTTTACAACTATTTTCAAACATAGAAGTATACATGGTCTTAGTTTTATTTTAATTTTGTAACTACATTGTCTTAGTTTTTACATGACCAAACATACAGATTGATGGACCAACTCTTGGCTAAAGCTTATAAAATTTGACCCTAACAAAAGTGTGCATTGGCCTTAAAAGATTGAAATGGAGGGAAAATCTTTGATCTAAGCAGGACAAATAGGAAACTTCTGAAACACGTCATAAACAGCAGCAAGCAAGCAAAAGCTGTCTAGTTCTTTTACAGAATGCTCTACAATGGGCTCATCATCTCGTGGCTACAGAATTATCAATGTCCATAGCCTAGCCTGCAAAAAGATGAAAAGTTAAAAAAAAAGCAAGTGGACTATCTTTTATTCTTTGGTTTCTTTAGAAAAAAGAATTGATCGATTAGCATTAGAATTCTAGTTCATTAAAGTTGGGTTTGCACCAATTTTCTAGCAATCTTGCAGGTTATGCGTGCAGGAAAGCAGAAATTACACGGTGATAGGGGAATTAGAAGGTGGTTATAAGTGGCCTGTATAGAGAACTTTGTATCCTCTACTTTAGTGAAACTGACCCTTCATTTATCTTTCGATTGAACAAAATCCCTAGTGCTTAACCACCTGGACCCAACCAATATTGTCGTATGGTGCCTCCAGAAAAAACAAAAAGAGGGTAGCGCTGATAGCGATAGGATGACTGAGGACCCCCAGCAACTTAAAAAACTTATAGTTGTAACTTAGCAGGGTGAATTAAAAATATGATAAAGATCAAAATAAGGCAGACAAAAGTGCTTTGGACAAGAAACAAGACAGAACACCAATGCCATAAAATGGAGAGAGCCTTGGCAGGATGAATCCTGAACAAAGTGTTCTGCAGTTTTGCTCAATAGTTCTCTGACGAATCCATGGCCATCACATGTCAAAATTTTATGTCGAGGGGCTAAATCTGAAAGATCACATGGCTAATAAAATAGGAGCACACGAGTGCAAGGATATGATGCGTGAGTGATGTTAAGTATAATAGTGCTTGAGACAGAAATGAGAAAACACATGGCTGGCACTTCAAGCAAATTCATATACATGGAAAGGCTTTCCGAGCAGGGAGGAGCAAACGGGTCCAAACCTCCAAAGTCCCACACTTGTCTTCAAGTGAAAATACATCAAATGCAAACAAGAATAACAAATTCACCAACTTGTATGATGTTATTTCTTCTTTCTTTCTGGACATAGTTGCAGTTGGTTTGGATGAAATTATTTTCACATATTTTACATATATGCAGGAACCAGGTACATGGCACTGCATTTAATCAGTGAAGTTCAAAACAGTTGATCAGATGATAGCTCCAGGATACCAGAAATGTTAACTAGCAAACATGGATTACTATCCAACATGTCTTGAAGATAAGTAACACTTATTCTTTCATACAAATACAATTCTAGTTGTGAATTAACAATGACTAATAGCCCATGATGTCAGCAATCAGAAGCCCAATCATATACAAAAACTTCCTGATAATACCAAATCTCACCAATTAACAGATAAGCCCAATCATTATGCAGTAAATCAAGGTAAATTTGTAGACAACAATATTCAAGCTATGCATAGGCAGCCCAAGCTTATTAGCAAAGAAAGAAGACAGGACAGATCCATAACCCAACACAGGGTTCTAACATGATACTGAAGGAGTACAAAAGGTTAAAATGTAAAATACACCTAAATTGGTTCAAAAGAAAGCCTCTAATTCTGCCCATAGCATTCCCTCGTTTTTGCCCACAGTGAGCAGTCATTATCAAGAAGGGAGGGACACTGGTACCAGGAAAGTGTTTTGAAAGACCTTGTAATCATTTTTTCAGGCTCTGAGTTATGTAACCCTTCCATCTTCATCCCCAGCACCTAAAAAGTTTGGCAAGTACAATAAAAAAAGTCTGGTAAGACTTTGCATGCATAATGTGAACTCATGAATTATGGCAAAATAGTGCAATAGCATCATGGCTTAGAGAAAGATCTTCATTTCACTTACTAACTTGCGCATGGCATTAGAAGTATCAATCAGTTCATGCATTATAACTAACTTGTAACATAATGAAATTCGTATACTAGATTAAATAAATATTGGGTCAGAGAAAGATCTTCATCTCACTTAAATAAGTACTAACTTGTGCATGGCATTAGAACTATCAATCAGTTGGCAAGTAAGATATTCTAATTAAAACTTGCATAAAAAGAAGAAAAAAATCAACAAGAGATAGATCCACATTACCCTCCCCCACCCCCTACCCCACACGCCAACCCCCCAAACTCTTGGTGAAGTTTAAGTGACAACCCCCAGCATCAAAACCACGGAGAAGACCCTCCTTGCCTGTTGACTGTGGTTAACCGTGGTTTTGTCCTACGTGCCCGCCACCTCAGCTCCTTTCTCATCTTCACATCAGCACCTCACAACAAACTTGAGAATTTATTTTCTCTTAAACTATTGCTCAGTTCTAACTGAAATTTTAATGGTAGTGTCAGGGGATTATGTTTGATTCTCAACGTTATCTGAATATTTTCAGGACAGTTTGAATTTTGAGCCAAATTTTGAACCAAAAACTTCAGAACTGATTCTCTCCTAAACTATTGCTAGGTTTCGGCTGGATTTTAACTGTCAGAGGACCTCGAAAACAGGGATGTTTACTGAGCTGTGGTGTATGTATCTATGTCTAGAACTGAAGTACTGAACTGTTCTTAACTGAAGTTCTTAACTGCCACCTATGCTATGTATATTGGACATTTTTATGTTTGGTTGTTGGCTTGTTGCTTCCTCTCTGTCTTGGTATCGTTTAACACTTGTTGTTAGCTGTTGCTAGATGGAAACATGGATTTGGAACTTGGAGTGTAGATCGATGCTTTAAACTCTCAAAAGTGGTGTACTGATGTGCTGCTGAACCTTTCAATTTTCATTATTCAAAGTTACAATATTTACATTGTTCAGGCTTGGAGGCTTCTGCATGCTTAGGAAAAGAGCGAACAACAAGGTAATCTGCTGTTCCTAGCAACCACGCACATTTATTTGTGATTTTAAAAAGTAGTAAAACGTATTCCTGTACTTTAAAAATGAGAATAAAATATGTATCCGTATCAGTGCCGGCATAGCAGAGGACCATTTTCTGTATTTTTCAGATTTTTCTGGACAGTTTCAATTCTAGTTAAAATTTGAACCAACAAACTTCAGAACTGATGTTCTCCTAAACAGTTTATCAGTTTGGGCAGAAATCTGATGCTGATATGAAGGCAGGAGAGAAGCTGAAGTGGTGCCCACGTAGGAACAAACCATGGCCAACCAGAGTAAAACAAGCGGGCGGGGGGATCTTTTGAGTGGCTCTGATAGCAATGAGACAATAACTATGGAAAATTGACCTGGTTTTAATTAATATTCATAAACAAGTGATGATATACTTAAATAAAGAATTATTAACAGCAGGGCTAGCTCTTCTTTATTTAAGTTTTTTTCTAAAAAAAGGCCGTAAACAACTGTATTGAGAAATCATTGATGACAACAACCTAGTAGCCTACTACTATTTCACAAGAACAGTGAGGGAGTAGTAGGCTACTGTAATTGCTTATTCCTTCAGGAGGCTACAGATTAGGCATTCTCCTGTAATCCCTAACTCCATTAGTATTGTCAGGTAAAACTGTTAAATCTGTGGCTTGCCCTTTCAGTTTGTGTTGCCCTAATAATATTTCCCAGTCAGGATCAAGGAATGCATTTTCAACAAACACATATTAGTGGAGAATAGACAACAGAAATACAAAGTTCGGTTAAATCAACACGCATGACCTTCAAAATAGTAAGACTCGCTACAAAGACTAAACTAACCTTGCCATTCAGAAGGTCCTAACAAAACAAAGAAATATATATATTGTGCACGCTGATTATAATGACTTGAATAATAAACTTCTAAATATTTTCTTAAATCTTAAGTCCTCATAGAGCAGCTGCCAGCAAGCTGACCTAGTGTACAACAGATCCGTAGAAGACAGCCTCAGCAGGACCAGTCATGTAAACATGATTGTTATCCTCCCTCCACTCAATTTCCAATGGCCCACCAGGCAAATCAACTACACATTTCTGTATCACAACAAAAAATATATACATCAAGAAATAAGGTAAAATTGACAAGTGTAGAAAAAATAATAAGGTACAGACCCGTTCAGCTCGGCCCTCAAGAACAGCTGCAACAACAACGGCACAAGCACCAGTCCCACAAGCAAGAGTTGCTCCTACAGTCCAGATCATAAATTTTATTTTGTCATATCCACTACATGAAAGAAATGCCTGGAGATAAGAGGATATCTCACTCAAAATCATCAGATATTGGAGTTATTTACACTATGGGTTAATGTTTTGGAGGACCAAAAGATGTGTAACATTTTTATAACATATAAAGATAATGCAGGCAGGGAAAGGATTTCTCATGTTCAAGCACAATCATGTCCTATAAAATTGAAGGAAGATCAAGGGGATATCAGTTATACCAGCACCCCGCTCCCAAACTCGCATTTTGAGGTGTGAGCGAGACAAGACCTCCACAAATTCTGCAGAAAGAAACTTACTTAATAAAACACAAATGCAAGGGCATTTACATTAAGCATATAGCAGCATAAAAAGTTACCAGTGTTGGTCCGAGCAGGAAACATTTCATGATGCTCAAATTTGGGCCCAATATCACTAAGCTTCAAATCATCAACATGCAGAACCTGTGGTCCAGCCAAGAAAATAATAAACTCATCTGAACAGCTCAGGTAGGCTAACCTAAATATGATTTGCTAGCAAATAGCAGTCACTTCATTTGTAGCAAAATTTACAACAGACAGGTGGTAGAGGCAATTCATTACAATATCTGCAAAAATGGACTTCGAATTGAGCAGTAACAATATGCATCTTACAGAAACTTTCCTTGCAGTCCAAAGGCATACAACATAGGTGTTGTCACAAATTTATTGAAGAGAAAAAATACTTGGTGACAACTGGCAATGAACAAAATGGAATGCAAAGACAACCGATCCCTCCCTATTGTTTCCATAAAGAAAACCCACTGGTTCACTTTTTTTCTCAAAAAGACATTCATCAAAATTGCGTCATTTTGTATCAGAAGCACACAGAGAAGGCAGAAAAGCTTGCAGAGGCAAAACAAAACAGAAGTCCACATAAATTGTTAGGCGATGTCTTTGCTACAAGGACCTTTTGGTCATAGAAAACTGGAGGTAGAACACGCAGAGATGAAATTCAGTAGGCATAAAGAAATTTCTGAGCTTTGACAAAAGGCAGTTTGAAAGAAAAGGAAATGAAGTTGCAAATCTATTTGTTGAGGGAAGGCAGGCATTTTTTCATCCGTATAGACAGAATAAAGCAAAGTTCAAAACATGTAAACGGGCAATTCGCAAACCGTTACCTTCAACTCTTTTGAACCAAACGTGATGCAATGAGGATTGCCCATACTAACACAGGTTACATGCCATGCTAGCCCGTCAATTGCCAATTCCGCTTTTACAACAGCTTCATTCTTGGTGGATGGCAGTTTTGTGGGAACATCTGGTCCATAAAGAATGGGTTCGCCCATATCAACCTTAACCTGGGAACAAGATAAATATATTGGAATATGTGATTACTATCGACAATATAAGTTCAGAGTTGGAAGACAAACATATAGACAAGATGGTGCTTTGAAATTTGGTAGGAAGGGAACACTCTCGAGGCTAATGGGGGCAAGAAAAGACGCCAGGGGATTCAACGGTTTAAAGTGTCCAAGAAAATTGCAAAACCTTGGAAAATAATTAAGATTATAACAACCATTATGAAATGCTTGCTACATGACATTGTTCTTGCAAGCACACTGAAAATTGTGCAAAGTTATTGCCAGTTACTCAACAATGCTAGCATAAAAGTTCGTCCTATTAGCAAATTGCAAGAGGCATGGAAGCTAAGGCAGGTTTAAAACAAGAGAAAAGTATGTTTCTCGTCCCTCAAGTTTACAAAAGGTAGACATTTGGTTTACAAAAGGTAGACATTTGGCCCCTTGTCTTTTTCCTGCTATATTTGGTCCCTCGTATTCCAAAACCTGACACAAATCGTCCAAAACCATAAATGAGGGGAAAACCGCTGACATGTCGCGGGTTTTTTGTACCCACTTGCCACGTTGGATGGGGTATTATTTTTCTCTCTCCCCCCTTAACTTCTTCCTACAGCCGTCCATCCCCGCCGCCTCCCTCTGCCACTGGCCAGCGAGGACACAACCTTCCAGCGCCGCCACTATTACCCGCAGTCCCCCGCGCTGCCCTTGCTCCCCACCCGCAAATGACTCCCCGCGCCGCCAGATCCAGCCAACCGCTGCCGGATCTGAGCCGGTATCCTCTGTCGTCTACCTACCCTTCCTTCCTCACCATCCGCACGGGGATCGTGCTCGGGGAGTAGTGCTGAGCGGCGGCCGCGTGGGGCGGGCACTGCTGGCCATGCGACTCCCGCTGACAGGGACCTCCTGTTGCACCCGCAATTAGGACCTGGACGGCGCACTCAACGCCACTCCAAGGTCCAGGAGTTCCCGGTCACGCAACCTCACCTTCTTCCAGAATGGGATGCTCTGTTGTCGTGGATCCTCGGGTACGACGGTGCTCGGGAGCCGTGCGACACGCTGTGCGACGGGGTACTCGGGCTTGGCAGCGCGTGTGGTGTGAGCTTCTGCAGCGCGTGCTCAGCCAGCCTGCTGATGCATCCCACGAAGAGAGGAAGAGAGAGATGAGGTGGCAGTCAATTTGAGTCAAAACCAACGACAAGTCAGCCCTTTGTGTCTGGTTTCGGATGAAATTTGCAAGGTTTTGAGACACGAGGGACTAAATGTCGCCCAAAAAATCTTGAAGGACTGAATGTCTACTTTTTGTAAACTTGAGGGACGAAAAATATATTTTCCTCTTAAAACAATCCTGAACAACTGCAGAGCCAGGAACAAACCATAGCAGGCTGCTGGAGATGAAAACGAATAGTTTACCTTGCTCATGATTGAATAATATGAATGGAAAACTATGGTGGTGTATGCCTTCTAAATTTAGCGACAACAATAATAAATGACTAAACAAACTAAATGGCATTTACCTTTCCATCGTCTTGTATTTCAGGAATAATTAATCCAGCGCCAGTATGGATTTTGAAGCTGAAACATGAGAATGTAACTTTAGGGGGCAATTAAAATAATGGTTTATCTATATAGGAGTACCAAATTACCAGTACCCACTTTAAAGAACAGGATACCATCCAATTAGAACTATATGAATACTAAACTGAGATTCTGGTAGACAGATTAAATCTGCGGGTGGAACTTTCCTACCATTTCACTCCCAATTTAATTATCAAAGGATATTGAAAAGTTCGTGCATGAATTGGCACCTATGTGTTCCCTGTAGATTTTCAACCTCCGCTATAAAGCGAGCAAAGCAACGAACTCCATTGCCACACATCTGAAATATAAAATACATTATGGATGAAAAATACATATGAAACAATTCATGGTAACAATAAGATCCATAGTGAACACATTTTTTAGCAAAAATTGAGATAAAAAAAACACGGCGCAGAACAAGTGAACAACTAGAAGAAAAAAAAACATATGCCAACTTTAATTCCCTCTGGAAGGCAGCTCATTGACATGGTGTGAAGTGTATGACTAAAATGCTGCTTTGTACAGTAGGGTTGAAACATAATAGCACTTCCAAACCTTTACAGTCCATCAAGCTCACAATTTGATAAATATGCAAAACATGCATATTATGCAGGGACATGTATGGTATACTGTTGATGATTCTAGATAGATCCTCAATATATTGGATAGAGTATTATGAACATACTCTAGACGACCAACTCTATGATCTACAACCACTGTGACTTAGCGTGTGTTTAGTTCCAGGTACCAAGCGGAACGTAACGGGTTGGACCCGTTCCTACCCCTCGTTCTGGCGTTTAGTCCGCAGCTGGGATGGAACCTGCTCATTCCCACCAACCGAATATTCAGCTGAGATCCGGAACCAAGTGATACCTCCAAATCGAAGGAATTACATGGAACCGGTCGTTCTCTCTTTCTCCTCCCCCGTGACCCCTCGTCTCGCCGTCTGGTGCGCCGCCGCCCCCTCGTCTCGCCCCTCCCTCTCCGGTACACCGCCCCCTCGTCTCGCCGTCTAGTGCGCCACCGCCCCTCGTCTGGCCCCTCCCTCTCCGGTACGCCGCCTGCCCCTCGTCTCGTTATGCGCCGCCACTGGATCTGTGTCGTCACCGGCTCACGTATCTATTTCTGTGTCGATCTGCAACACACAAAGGGACGAAGATGGGATGCTTGAAAGAAGAGGAGCACGTGCAGCCCGCGAGTAGCTGCGTAGCTGCAGTCATGCAACGGGTTACAGCGGGGCTTGTGTTAGTTTTCTGATTGAAGTTTGGTGTTCTATTCTGTTCAAACTAGCTACATGGAAGCAATCAAGCAAAAGGAGGGAGTTAAAGAACAATAAGAAGAAAACTTAGCATGTGCGTGCTGGAGTCTATTTTGTTAACAACTGTACATCTTTACATCTTTTCAGGATCGCCCAGCAACTGGATTTGCACCTGATTTCGACCAAGAGAGTGCTAACCTCGATTCAGGAGGGCCAAATGTTCAGAATGTAACCTTACTTTTTGGCGAATGAACTTGCTATCTTATGAAATTGTGTTCTATGTGATGTAATACATATATCATGCTTGTGAATATATATTGTTATGTTGTTTTTCTCGAAAATACAAATGAAATGCTGCCGAAATTTTCAATTTTTGTTATTCCATCTTTCATTCCGTGCTTCCGAACCAAACACAAGAACAGAACCATTCCATTCTACCTTTTACTCGTACCAAACACAAGAACGGAACCGACCCGTTCCTCTGGAATGGAACCATTCCATTCCATGACAGTTGGTTCCTCAACCAAACACACCCTTAATGTAAGACGTTTTTGCAGTTTAAATTAAACTGCAAAAATGTCTTGCATTAAGTTACAGAGGGAGTATTATGTAAGTAGACTGACAGTACATGTATCAGTATACAGAAAATGTGAACTATAAAACTAGCTACAGAGACTGGATTTGCAGGCTATAGTTTTCCCCAGACAACACTTCAAGCATCACAGGAGGTTGTACGGCTACATCATACATTTTCCCTTCTACAGACAATGTCACGAAACTATATGCATGTCGGCAAAGATGTCACAGCAGAGAATGGTCATAACTGATATGAACATAATGCCGGATAACCCATAACTCATTTCCTATGGCCCAACATTATTCAGTGATGTAATGAAACAGCGGCTCACCTCCGGCTCGCTGCCATCGGAGTTGAATATCCTCATAGTGTAGTCCGCGCCGTTGACCCCCGGCAGGACGAAGATGACGCCATCAGCACCAATACCAAAGTTTCGGTCGCATAGCTTCGCCGCCTCCTCCGGTGCCACCTTCGGTACGGCCGAATCCCTGTTGTCGACCTACCAACCCAAACAGAATTCATCAAAATAACATAAATAAAATTAGCCACAGCACAGAATCTAAAACAGCAAGCATTGCACGAATTGGTAGCGGCATGTCACCCCCAAATGTATTCACGACGTGTGGTAGCTTGAAAAGAAAAACGGGAGAGGGAAAAGCATCACCATTATGAAGTCGTTGCCGAGGCCCTGGTACTTCCCGAAGTGGAGCGCGCGCTCGGACTCGCGGCGCTCGAGGAACGAGGCGGCGGCTGGCGACTTGGGAGCGGACACGGCCATCGAGGCGACGGCGCGGCGGGGGCGCGGATTCCCACAGAACGGACGGAGGAGGCGACCGCCCGAGGAGGGGGCGGTGGAGGTGGTGAAGTTGGCAGCGAAGGATGTGACTCTGGCGGCGGCGGCGGCGGGCGACATGGCTACGAGTGCGAGAGCGGGGAGGGGTTTGGGGGAGGGTCCCTGTCGCCGTCGCTGCCGGCTAATGACGGGGAGCTTTCTGCTCTATGCAAGCGGGCTCCATGTGACACGTTGGCCCACTGTCATTGAGGGCGAGGGTTATCTGGGCTAACGTGTCCCAATCTTTTTTTTCTTGACGGAGCACGATCCTTTGCGCATCGGGTGGATTTATTTTTTCTTATTTTGAGCTGTCCGGCCAGTGTTGACCCGTCCTACCATGCCGTATGTTTAGAGTCCCTAGCAGACTAGCAGATTCCCTAAAATCCAAATAGTAAATCCACTTTCGGATTGCAAATCCATCAGGCGGAATAGATACGTAAAATGATAGTACTGGATAATTCAAAGACCTACTTCAGGCGAGAATTTGTTTAGTGAGATCACGCGGTAGTCCGTTAACACAATTCACAAACAAAGACGAACAACAAACATAGTTCATACAAATTACAAACCATACCCTAGATAAACGAAAACCTAACCCTAGGCTTCATGGATCAAGCTCGTTGCAATGCGGGTGTCCTCCATGTTGAGATAGACCTGCGAGACGGAGGTGCATTGCGCCCCACGTGAGCATGTGCTCCTTTCAGGCGTTCTCCCAGCGATGCTTAGCATCCGGGTCATTAGTCACCACCACCTCCTTGGCCTTTAGAAGGGCGCCATGGTCTCGCAGGTCCGCACTACGTGTGGCGTGCTATGTTTGTTGAGTACATCGTAACGCCATGGCCCCCGCCGCTGCTTCGGGAGAGATCACGGTCTCGCATCGCCTTGCGCTTGTCATCCTCGTCGCTCCATGGCACTACGTTGCTAGAGCTTCCGGCCTCCATGTCGTGCGCAAGGTTGCGGCGACGACAGGCGGTAGGCGCACTTGCTCGGAGGCGCACCCGCCCCCAATGTGCCCCCCACAGTCGCGGCCGGATCCGAAGCCATCGATCTGCCGGACTTTTGAGAAAATGATGCGGAGAGGAGCGAGAAATTGCTCACCGGACTTGGCTAAGCCTAGTGGTGGAGGAGACGAAACGCGACGGGGGCTAACCTTCTATGCCACCGGGTACCTTCCATATAGTGGGCGAGGGGTGCTTATTCGGTGGGCCGAATTTTTTTATCCAGGTCATGCATGCTGATCTCCACTCCTAATGTCTCAGTTGGTAGGTCGCGTTTTGAGTTTAATTTTTATCCCATCACTTTCGTCCGGTTTTTTTTCGTCCTTCTCTTCCACCACGCTCTTTCACCTTGGTTTTTTTACATCATCCTTTCCCACGCACGCGCACAAAAAAACCCCCGAGTGACCCATCTGCCTTATCCCTAACCCGCTCTCGTCTCCCTCCCTAGGACGCAGCCGCCCACCGAATCAAATCCCGTCGTCGGGCTCGTCTGCCTCGCCGTGGCCGATGAATGCGTCGGCTGCAGCCACGCCCCCTCTCCAAACGGCGGCGATGATGGAGGGAGCAGCTCACGCTGGCCAGGCTCCCGACCGAACGCGTCGGGTCATCTCTCCTCGGGGCCAACCCCTCCTATTCATCGCATCTCTCCCTGACTCCGTCTCCTCCACGAGATGTAGCACCACCCCACGCCATGGACGCCCTTGCCGGCTGCATCTCTCCATGCGCCGCCACTCCTATGACACCGCCACCCGGCAGTCTCCACCAGCACCACGACGGGCGTGGCCTCTGCACGCGCCGTCACCTCCCCTCCAGATCCGGACGTCGTCGAGGGCATGTCCATCCAGCAGTGCGCCGTCACCTCCCCTCCAGATCCAGCCGTCGTCAAGGGCGTATCCATCCAGCAGCGCGCCGTCATCCCAATCATCACCGTCCACGGCGTCATCGCCCAGGCCCAGTCAGGGGCCGGCAAGACCTCCATGATCTCCCTCTTCGTCTGCCAAGTCATTGAGACCAACGTCCACGAGTAAGATGCCCAGCCCTCCCCCTCTGCTACCATTGCTGGATTTGTCAAATTGATTTTTTGGGCAAAGAATTTGATTTTAGGGTTAACTTGCTCGTCTCATTCGTGGAGATTCATTCATTCTGTCGGACCACATGTGTACAGGTGATTTCCGCATAGCTTTTGTGTATGACGGCTGGAGGACCAACTCAGACCTCGCTTGCCCCAGGGTCAGGAGGTCCAAGGCGCCACAACCAACTGCCTCTGCATCCATATGCTGGCAATTTACTTTGATTGTTAGTCGTTGACCATGAGCAAGAATCTGTCAATTAATTTGATGCTTCAGTTAACTTGTAATTTGCTGAATTACTATTGGTTAAGCATCGTGCAGGTCTTTGTTTGATTGTTAGTCGGTGACAATTAGCAAGAAGTTGTAGGAGGTTAAAATCATCTGCCAATTCTCTTTTAAAAACTGCCAACTTAATTAATGAATCATGTCGAATTGTAGACGCAGTGAACAGATAATGCAAAGTTCCTGCAATGACTAATTTGAGAACTGCCGGTGTTACATATTTCTAAGACTATGTGTACACGTCTAATGCCCTTTCTGATGTTTCTCACTATCGAGATTACGCTTTTAAAAAAGTGTTTGTTATGTTTAGTGTCAATCTAGAACAAAATCTGTTTTGACTCCACTCTGGACAATCTTCAAAGAGATGCTAATTCTTCATGATCATTAACTTGACGCCTGAAATATTAATTTTGTCTGTCCTATTTTGGTTTATTTCAGTTCAGTGTGGTAATCTACAGCAATCAAGTTAACAAATCTGAAGCATTTTAGCAAGGCAACGGTGCAAGTGCTCTTTTGGTGGAAGATGAAGCTTTTGTTGGGCTTGTGATGTTTTTCTGAAGAAGACTGACGATGAACTCAAAAGACAGATAACATGCGGTATTTGTGATATAGTACTAAATGATTCAGGACTGCTGTAGCTCCAGAAAGGATGACACTCTTCATATTGTGATGCAACGTCATAATACTAGGTTGTTTCTATTTGTTCTGATGCAACTTCTATAATTGCAGGTTGCTACTACGGGAATACCTGATGTTGCTTCATGTCAGTTATATCTTCCAATATTTACAGAAACTTCCAAAACTGGCACCAGGTCAGGACATGCTGATGATAACCTTCTAGTTTTGCTAAATCATAGTTACTTGAGTAATCTCTACTCCTAAAGTGTTCTTCGAAGGTGCTCATCAAATCTGTTGATACACAACACCGCAGTTATTGGTGGTTTACACTGGATAGTTTCCAGACCTTTATCGCAAGATGGACGAACTTGGCATCTCAGCCAGTACTCTGCCTCATCAACAGTTTGATGTCCCTTTGCATGAAGTTAGGCCAGCATTAGAATATCCGTAGCCTTTTTTAGGAGATGAAGGTGAAGAATATTAAGCCGGATAACCTCACATGTTTCCTTCTAATGACCAGCCATGCGGCATTGAACAAGATAGATGTTGTTGGAGAAGTTTTAGAAGAAATGCAAGAAAATGATGTAGTTCTAGGGTGGTATGCATATAGCATGGTTTCTATCTACCTGAGTGCTGGTTTGGTTTTAAAAAACAGTCTGCTCTCAAGAAACTCGAGGGCCTTGATTTTAGAAGGTAACATAAATATCTTGATTGATCGTTCATGGTTCTGGGGCTCCTTGTTACAGTTCAGGCAAGAGTTTAGTCCATAATACTCAATTTCATCCTAAAGTGCGTGCCCCCTGACCCGTGGGACGACGGCACGGAGGCAATCGCATAACCCAGCGGCAGGGCGTGGCGGCGTTGTGGCCAGTGAGGAGCGCCGTTAGGGCGTGCCCTGAATCGAGAGGAACAAGTATGTTCACTTTCTGTTCGCTTTGTGTTTGCTTTCTGTAGTCTCAAAGCAGAGCAATGGTCACTGCAAATTTTATCAGAGAATGTGCAACAAAAGCACGTTGAGAAGTTCCTGTGAGCCCTAATTATTTCTTGAGAAAGCAAACTTATTGATCCTTGCTCTATTTTTTGTGTACTAAGATTGTTCGTTTGTACCCAGCATGTGTATGTGATGTGCCCTGCCGCTGTGTGTGCTTCCTGCTAATGTGTGTGCTTCTTGACGCTGTTGAGCATGCGTGTGTGTGTTCGATGTCGCTGTTTATTAACATTGTCATGCTCTCCTTACTTTTTGCTTAACAATTCATGATCAATACTGAACATTATTTTTTGAATAGATGCCACTTGAACTTAGTTTTAGCTCTCATGTTGGTCAATAAATCATCAAGTAATGTTTTGCATGGATTTTATAACTGACACAATGTTTCTGATTTAATGAGAGCCAACCATGCGTTCCTGGCTTCCCCGGCGATGCCAACATGGCAGGGCAGGACCCAGTGGCCATCTTCGGCGCCTTCATGGACTTTGTCAGCGCCGACCTCTGCTTCATCATCTACGGCCACAACCCCTTTGTCGTCGGCATCATCTGGCACCTCAGAATGCAAATTAAATGTGTTCATAGAGTGGGGTGTAATTGTGATTTGTGCAATGGGTTCAGAGTGGAAGGGGTTGTCATTCTTGTTTAGCAGGGGCTGCAAGTTCTATCGCTATAAGCCTGACTTGCAGCGGCAACAACAGATTCAGATGTGGTAAGCTCATTCATTCATTCTCTCAGGAGAAGAGGACCAAATTGATTCAAATTTTGTGTTCTGATCTTAATGTTGCGAGGTTTGCGATCGCATGTATGGTCGGGACTGCATGGGTCCGGCGACCAATTGCTTGCATCTCTTGCTGTATGGTGATGATGACCGGCTCTTGTTAAATCCAATACGACTGCACTTCTTCGCTTCAGGTGGCCGTGGAGCTCTGACTCCATCCTCACGACACTCAAACCTGTCTTGATGATTGCATCAGATTGCAACTCTATTATCTTTTCATACCATGATATGCGTGCATGTCTCTTCGGTTCTCAAACAAGAAATACTTTTCTTTCAGTTTACTTTGTAGGTAACATGCAGTGTACAGTTTGTAGCAGATTATGATGCAAGTTTGTTTGTTTTCACTCCAAGCATGATTTTTATGATACATGACGCTACTCTGAGGCTGCTCCTCACTACCAGTCACAACAAGATGGGGCCCCTGGTGGTCCTCTGAAATTTGATTCCCTCGATGGCCGAGGATCGTTTTGCTTTGAAGTCTGATGTACATTTTTTTTAATCTCATGTAGGAAGAAGGTATCCCCCCTATACGAAGATTTCTAGCTTGCCTATGTGTTGATAAGTGCATTGGGCCAAACAATTTGTGGACCAAATAAACTTGTTGCAGATACAGAAGAACAAGGCTGCACACAAGGAGTTGCCTGAATTGCAGTGGCAGCGGTGTTGTAATATGTAAGGTTTTGCATCAACTTGGTCTATTTTCTATCCATAAGTCTAATGAATTGGCCCTTGTTTATCAGGAATCAAGCTTGTGAAGAAAAATTTTGTTACTTTAATGACACACACTTGCAGTAAGTCATTCAGAGATATATTCAGTACATGCTAGGTTGCCAAGCTCAGAGCCACGTGTTGTCTCCATAAATTCGCTGAAAGCAAAAATCATTTGCCCATAGTCATGTGAAACCTTCTAGAATTCTTTTTAGTATTTTGCATTGCTTGTGCATTTCTTTTTTTATCACTTCTAATAACCTCATTGATTCATTTTTCCTATCGTCATGTCAGTCCTTGCTCTAAATTTTTTGTTAATATGTTGCACTTCTTATGCATTTCCATTTTTATCACTTCTAATAATCTCATTGACTATTTACATCTCACCGTGTTTACCAAGAACACGAGTGATACTTTTGTTTTGTAATAATAATACAATAGTGACAATTTTATTTTATTTTATTTTCTGACATAGTTCTCAATTAGGCTTACAAATATTTTACATTGGGAGTAGTTCTGCCATCAAGCTTATGTGTAATGTATTCCTTAGAATGGTGTTTCAGCCATTTCTATGTAGGCGGCATGTGTGATGGCACGTATTTCAGCCATATCGACTTAGGCGGCATGTGTGCTAGCACAAGAAAAGGAAGGCCCTGAACTGAAAGGAGCAACATATATTAATGAAATGCCCTGAATTGAGAGAGAGAGAGAGAGTTCAATTTAATTTGTCTGGTTTAAATATTTATGAGTAATTTAATTTGTTTGACCTTGAGTGTTGACTTGCTTTTCAGTTGTCAACAATGTCCGTTTTGCTGAATGTACTTGCTTATCCTTCTACTGGACTACCATTGGTTCACTGTGTACATACACTTTCCAATTCTGTCTGTTTACTATCTTTTGTTATTATTTGTCTTGATAACTTGATGCTTTCTTCCTTGGTTGTTTAATCTTAACAGTTCCACATCCCACATCGAACCTTCCAGACTCATCCAAGTGACCATTTGCAACATCCTTTTCCGTACAATCTGGATTAGTTCAAGGTTTTCATCACTCTGGTGAGCATATGGTGCGCTAACTCGGTTAGCGCATTGACATAGTGCAACGCCCATTGATTAAACGTTTTTATCTCTTATCATTTTCTGCATTTTCAGGTCTGCACAACATTCATGGAAATTATAGTCTTCCAAAATATTCCTGGATCACTTGCAAAAAGGAATGTTGTGAAGAGTAGCGTTCCATCATCTGGGGTCCAACAACCCAGAGGGAGCATTTCTGGGAGATTTGCTGCAAACAGCCTTCCTGTTGTCATTCTCAGGTTCGAATGCCCACCTTTGTGGAGGTTTGCGGCATTGTTATTTATATACGTTCAACATCATGAACATGCATGTTAATTGGTTTGCAATCTAAGGAACAATTTTGTTGGCTTGATAAATTATAACATACTATTGCTTTGGTTTCATGTGGAGGATGATGATTTTTACTGTTTTGGTATTATTGTTTCTTTTGCAGATTCCTCATGCACATTTAGGTGTCAGTGGTAGAGTAATGAATGTTGGTGGAGGTCAAGCATTTAGAAGTGGAATGAATATGGGTGGTACCATTCAAGGTTTATCCTCAAACTTGGGCACCAGTGGTAATCGAAATTATGTTCCTGGAAACCCAGCTTTGGGTCCACGTATTACAAACATTGTGAGCAGAAGTAACATTGGAATAAATATAAGCTCTGGTGGGTTGTCGGTGCCGATTATCTCATCACACATCGATTTTAGGGTCAATGCTGCAAGTGGAAGACTAAATGTGCAAGGATCCAACAGGATGATGCATGGCCTTATTCTGCAAGGTAGTTTAAGTAACCATAGCTTGAATTTATTACTTAGTAGATTTGTGTTAAGCTTCATGTTTTAGCTTGAAATACGAGTACTATTTATAGCATGTTTAACTATTGCTATTTTAGTGCTCTGTTCAGCGTGTACTTACCATATCTCCTGCTTTGAGTTGTCCCCTCACCCCTTGACTTTATCTTACCAAAAAAGGGCATATGAAATACTTAGTGAACATCCCGTATGATGAGAGATTTTCTTGGGAAACACACTAGGTAGCCTTGATGTTAGTGCTTCATAAACTATGAATGAACCATGTGGTGCTGGAGATTCATTTTTTTTAAGCTACACTATCTGAATAATTAGACATTTTTTATCTATGTAAAATAAGAGCCAACTTATAGAATTTTGACCTTAAACATTGAAGTCCAACATAATATTATACTGCTGAATTTCTGTCATATCGATATTCTTCCTTTTGCAGGCATAAATTGAATATATATGTTCTTGCTTTTCTTAGTGATCGTTACTGTACCTATTTTGATTTCCTAGCCGCGCCTGTTGCTCTGCTCTCTGTTTGAAGATGACAAAGACGAAGAACATGGTGGTAGCGCAAATGTGATAGTAAATTCCATTACAATAAATATTTGTTGATTTATATGTATGGTTAGAAAATCATGCAGCTCTTTTGTGAAGAGTAGAACCTTTTATTCTATTCAGGGGTTTCTTCAAATTTGTGTTACAGCATATAAGCTTGCATCTGAATCGGGGCAATGCTGTAGGTATGCCTGATGGAGCGATTGGGTTGATGCTGATGCTGATATACTTCCCTAAGTTGCTCCAATCAGGAATGCAGATATACTTCCGTGAGTTGCTCCCCAAAACCAATCCCTTGCTCTTCTTTGCACCAATGGGACAAGAGATGCGAGCCATCCTTTTTACTGGATGTTCTCTTGATCGTTTCTTCCTATGGATTTTGTGGTTGACAGATGTTCTCTCGCTGTGGATTGGTAAAAAGACTTAACTCTTAATCAGGGCGCGCGATTTTGATGAAGGTTGTAAAACATTTTCATTAGGCATCAATTTTATTGCTGGTGCTTGTCTGGCTGTAAAATCTGCTCAATATGTATATTTTCCTTTTGTCTGTGTCCCTTTTCCGATATAATACTGAACCTTTTGGAATATCTCTGTATACAAAAAAATGTGTTCTGTCTGCCGATTGAAATGGACCTAAATATGAATACGAACCAGTAATTGTTTTGTGTTTTTATCACCATGTACATCAATAAATTTGCCGCCGCTGCTGCATCTCTCTCATGCTGCTGCTGCATCTCTCTCATGCTGCTGCTGCATCTATCTCGGTCGTTGTCGCACGTCGCCATTGAGGGATCCACGTGCCTCCTGCACACTGCCCTGAAGCCCCCTTTGCCATAAACACACGTCCATTGAGTCCTCTGTACATTGGAATGCACATGTTTGAGCATGATAAAAGGTAGAAGCATCAGGGAATGTACACTCCAGCTCTGAACTGCTCGGTAATGCAAGTTTGATCTCATTTAGCTTATCGTTGATCCTGGTGTTAGTTAACTTGTGAATTTAGGTGCAGAAGTATGGCACTATCATTTAGGTTTTAAGTCCTATGTGTATGGATTAGATGATTAAATTCATGCAAAATTAGGAGCATAAGAAATCTATTATTGAAATTTATGGGTGGCATTCCTATGATACCTTTTTGATTATTTGAGCCGTAATAGAATCATATGAATATGTACAATCCAGAAAAGATGCACACAAAAGAAAGACAGATGAACCATCACAAGTCACATAATCATCTGTTCCTGGTTTATGGCAAGGGGTACAGATGATAGGAGGAAGGAGAGATGAGGTCACTTTCTTAATTCGAAGCATCACAAAAGGTTAGCATTACTATTCCATGGGATAATGAATTAAGGTTAATTTCATTTTAGAGGATAAAAGCAGCCCGTGGAGGGTGACCCGCTCATACACTCGACGATTTTTTTTGAAGTGTTTAACATCCCCTTGCGCTTGGCAAGTGTGCCATGTGGTGATCGAGCTAATTATCGTGGGATTGAGCACATTCGAAGGCGTTATGATCAAGTAAACACCGCCACCATTAATGAGGGTGAGAAAGAGGATAAGCGGTGATACTTTTTCTTGAGTCGTGCTTATTGGCTAAGGGTTTGGTTACATTTCTTCCTCCCGTTGCAATGTACAGAAATTATGTGCTGGCTCGGCCCCTGCTCCGTCCTCTGTTGGAAATAATCACGATTAGGTGTCCCTGTCCCGTACGGATTTGTAGCGTTAGCCGAATCAGCTCTGTACTACTTAGATAGATCAGGCACTATAATAATAATAATAATAATAATAATAATAATAATAATAATAATAATGCCGATAGACTATGTTTATACCCCTAAAGATATTATAGTCATCGAATCAATCATGTCTGCCCTCAAGAAAACCATATTTGTGGTCATTGTAGATGTCTTGTTATCAAACGATGATCTGCAATGTCTTATGAAGGATGATGTGTTCTTACACGATGGTGTAAGACCAATTGCATAAAATTTGTGATTATTAATATAAACAATATATAATATCGCGTAAAACATAGATATAATCCATACGTGGAATTGCAGGTGATAAATGCTTACATATATTGCATGCTGACTCACGAGATTCAACACGAGATCAAAAGTTTTTGCGATAAGGAAACTATTCAGAAGTTGGCAACTTTGTTTGATAGCTGGCATGGGATAGACAACAACATATATTATCGTGCAACATGGTAAGTAAGGTATTTTTTCTATTGTTTGTCATGGTTTATTGTTGTCTGTAATACCTACCACTTGTAGATTTATTTTCCATATGAATCCATCGGTCGATACTGTTGGAAATATGCCCTAGAGGCAATAATAAAATGATTATTATATTTCCTTGTTCATGATAATTGTCTATTATTCATGCTATAATTGTATTATCCGAAAATCGTAATACATGTGTGAATACATAGACCACAATGTGTCCCTAGTGAGCCTCTAGTTGACTAGCTCGTTGATCAACAGATAGACATGGTTTCCTAGCTATGGACATGGGGATGTCATTCATAACGGGATCACATCATTAGGAGAATGATGTGATGGACAAGACCCAAACCTAAGCATAGCACAAAGATCGTGTAATTCGTTTGCTGTAGCTTTTCTGAATGTCAAGTATCATTTCCTTAGACCATGAGATTGTGCAACTCCCGGATACCGTAGGAGTGCCTTGGGTGTGCCAAACGTCACAACGTATCTGGGTGACTATAAAGGTACATTACAGGTATCTCCGAAAGTGTCTGTTGGGTTGGCACGAATCGAGACTGGGATTTGTCACTCCGTATGACGGAGAGGTATCTCTGGGCCCACTCGGTAATGCATCATCATAATGAGCTCAATGTGATCAAGTGGTTGATCACGGGATCATGCATTACGGTACGAGTAAAGTGACTTGCCGGTAACGAGACTGAACAAGGTATTGGGATACCGACGATCGAGTCTCGGGCAAGTAACGTACCGATTGACAAAGGGAATTGAGTACGGGATTGATTAGGTCCTCGACATCATGGTTCATCCGATGAGATCATCGAGGAGCATGTGGGAGCCAACATGGGTATCCAGATCCCGCTGTTGGTTATTGACCAGAGAGTCGTCTTGGTCATGTCTGCTTGTCTCCCGAACCCGTAGGGTCTACACACTTAAGGTTCGGTGACACTAGGGTTGTATAGATATGAGTATGCAGTAATCCGAAAGTTGTTCGGAGTCCCGGATGAGATCCTGGACATCACGAGGAGTTCCGGAATGGTCCGGAGGTGAAGAATTATATATAAGAAGTGTTGTTTCGGCCATCGGGAAAGTTTCGGGGTCACCGGTATTGTACTGGGACCACCGGATGGGTCCCGGGGGTCCATCGGGTGGGGCCACCCATCCCGGAGGGCCCCATGGGCTGAAGTGGGGAGGGGAACCAGCCCTTAAAGGGCTGGTGTGCCCCCCCTTGGTCCCCCCATGCGCCTAGGGTTGGGAACCCTAGGGGAGGGGGCGCCTCCACTTGCCTTGGGGGCTACTCCACCCCCTTGGCCGCCGCCCCCCCTAGGAGATCCCATCTCCTAGGGCCGGCGCACCCCCTAGGGGGCCTATATAAAGGGGGGGGGAGGGAGGGCAGCCGTACCCCAAGCCTTGGCGCCTCCCTCTCCCCTGCTACACCTCTCCCTCTCGCAGAAGCTCGGCGAAGCCCTGTTGCGTTCACTGCTGCATCTACCATCACGCCGTCGTGCTGCTGGATCTTCATCAACCTCTCCTTCCCTCTTGTTGGATCAATAAGGAGGAGACATCATCCGCTCTGTACGTGTGTTGAACGCGGAGGTGCCGTCCGTTCGGCACTTGGTCATCGGTGATTTGAATCACGACGAGTACGACTCCATCATCCACGTTCTCTTGAACGCTTCCGCTCGCGATCTACAAGGGTATGTAGATGCACTCTTCTCTCGTTGCTAGTTGACTCCATAGATTAATCTTGGTGAAACGTAGGAAAATTTTTGTTTTCTGCTACGATCCCCAACAGATACATCTTGTACGTCATCGACAAAGAGGCATGTCATGTATCTATTCTGGATCCTATTCGTACAACACAAACGACGGAGATGAAAATTTTGAGGCACTTAGTGAAATTAAAAAGTTTTGCGAGGGAATTCAAAGAAGCACTCGAAATAAAGCAACCAGGATGGCATTGCCAATGTGTATTTCCTAATGGTATTCCAATGAGCATAGACGGGTAATAAATTTATCATACAAACATTTATTTTTATTATCACCATACTTAATACAATAGCAATTTAGTAAATTACAGGGATTTGTTAGGTTTTTATGTCTTTCATTTTATGCTCTGGTGGAACGGTAAAGACCTTGTGCAACCAGTTTGTGCGGTGAGTATTGTGCATTACACATGTTTTTAAATCTTTCATGTGAAGTATTCGTCCTAACTACGTATATTGCTTTTCCAGGATGGGTATGAGTTGAGGAAGCAGTTTTTATTATACTTGCTCAAACATCATGCGAATGAAGCTAAAGACAACTTGCCTGATATTGTGCGAGAATTTCTTAAGCGCATCAAGTAGATCTCAATATTCTATAATATATTTTTATTTGGATCATTACTTTATACGTATACGTTCTCAATTTGATATCTTGTTATGAGTTTACATTACAAGTGAATTGGACTTCAATTGTTATGCAATTGTGATCGTGTTATATTGTCTCTACCCGCGATATTTAGCATGCATTATCTTTATGTGACTTCAACAAACTATTTCAGAAGCCCGTGGCAACGCACGGGCACTCTACTAGTATGTGGTAGTTGTTCAGGCCAAAAAGCCCAAAACCGCACATCGGTCAATTTTTTCCAGGGATGTTTTAGGGGATCTGCTAGAGATGCTCTTAGGCCATCTCAACGTCGACCTCTAAAATACCCGTATGTGAATAGTGATACTCAAAATTATAGCATATCAAAGATTCAATGAGTGAAAGTATTGAATTGAGACACTAGTTCAAAGAAAAATATTATAATCCAACTAAATTTTGAAATGGTATAGTGGTGTTCTAATTGTCCCCTTTAAGCATCATACATACTTAATTAGATATTTATTAAGCTTCTCATGAGTTGCTCAATGACGATTTTGTTGATGCATTTGAATAAACTCATCAAGCGTGGCCGAATTTTGATTTGAAAGTTGGATAGGATAATCCATGTTCTCAAATCTCAGACCTCCGACAGCATCTTCAGTTCTTCACCCTCACCCTCCATGATCATGTTGTGCATGATCACACAAACGTGTCATCACCTCCCACAAGCTCTCTGGATCCCATATTTTTGTAGGTTCTCGAACAACTATAAAACATGATTCTCTCTCCGCAAACACGCTTAGCACCGAAAAAAGAAGGGATTGTCAACCCGCACGCCACCAGGCCC